AAGCAGATGTGCATGAGGCTAGGCTTGCCGGAGGAACCGCGCCAATGTCACCATCGGCCGGGTTCAAACCGTGACACGACGAGTCAAGGCTAGGGCTTAGTCTGTACAGTAGCCCGAAGCCAGGCTAGCAAAGTACTGCTAGTGTGTAGTACTAGACTCGAACCTTGCGACTCGATGTATCATTCCTAAAGTTGCAAGTCTCTACTCAATTCACAATGGCGCCCGAGCTTCCCTCTCGTTCAGCCTGATCCTATAGCATTGTGTGCGAGCGTGGTGATTGCATCGGCCCAAGCGCATGGTGAGTCATGGCATGGAGCGAGTGCGAGCATGGGGCTTTGTGGGAGCCGAAGCAACATGAGTGCAAGGAATCACCGAGCATGAAGTATGCTTGAGAGGTTATAGGAGTTACAAACCAGCCATCCCTTTGCCCATCATGTCCTGTAAGAAACTGTGCATGGTCTCTACTTGCAAATTTAGGAATGATGGGTGGTGGCTGTTAGGAGCTTCTTGAAAAGGTAGAAAGGGGGAAATTGTGATTGATCCAAACCCGGAGGATCACTTTCACTTTGCAGCGGCAAGCGAGTTTGCTTGGGTGCACGATACAAGTGAGGGGCAAAGGAGCTGCAGGGCCCAAGGGTTCCTGTGCCGGCAGCCACTGTCGTTAGATCGCCTTCGGGTGGCCTCTCGGCAGCAAGTCACCAGAGGTGAGCCACTCGTAGCTCAACTGGGTGGTTACGGCCCTTCGTGGGCCATGACATAGACACCAGGGAAAGCAGGGTCGGACTTGAGCACTGAGTGACTAGAAGCAAGTTGATTGGTGACGGCTCTCCTCGGCGACCTTCAACGGCCACAGAAAATTAGCCGTCAAAAGAACGTGGGCGACAAGTTTGAGGGGCATTCAGGGCACAGACGGTGTTCCTGTTGTTTCTGAGCTTGACTTCCCAAGTCTGAGAGCGCATGTATTGTCTCCTTCTTACCGTGTTCTCTTTGTACAGGTCGCGGTGAACACGTCCATCACCGAGGTGTCGCAGTTCTTGGAGCACATTGTCAACTCCACCAACATGAAGTGCTTGACGCCTCCGTGAGTGCCAGGACCGTCTCTTGTCTCAGGATCGTCCTCATCCGTAGAAGTCGTGAACGCTGGCGACTCGTGCCCTTTCTGGCCCCGCTCTTTCAGATTTGCCTGTCGAATCGGGAGACCTGCCAGTGATGTTGGGGGCTTATGCTGGACCCTCTCTTTGAGGCTCCCTTACAAAGGGTTCTTGCTTCTGCGATTGTCCCTTTTGTTGAGCGATTAAAACTTTAAGTTACGACGATATTGACGGCACTTTGTTATGAATATGTGATCCCCCTCTTATTCGTTGCAGGTCGGCTTTGGATGGGGACTGCGGCTTCTTGGCGACGAACTTGTATGCGAAGAGTGTGTTTGGCGAAGATGCCCTGGTCAATGTGAGCGTAGAAAAGCAGCCTGATGGGAAGCTGGGTGGGTACATCCGGATTCGGAGCAAGACGCAAGGTATTGCCTTGAGTCTGGGAGACAAGATCACTCTCAAGCAGAAAGGTTAGTCGCTGAGTCCAGCAATCCGGTGAGAGGAGTACCGAACGGTTGAAACGGGATCCGTTCTTGAAATGGAGTCGAGCTCCTGCAGATATTCCATTGTTAAGCACACTGCTGCAGATTTTGCATGCATTATGAATCATGATGGCCCGCCTATAGAGTATTCGTGATCCAAGTGTACACATGGGATCAGTGCCGCATATATATTGTGGTGGTCCCTGTTTGCACCATGCGCTTGTCATGTCTGTTGACTTCTTGGGTCAAACATGGACGGCCGAAACAAGAGACGTGGAGCTTGTCTATAAGATAGCTGACGTTGCAGCGTGCAGTTTGCGGGGCATGCGGAGTGCATCATCATATACTAAACTGACGACATGTACGTACGACCATACTTCATGTTGCACATTGATCTGCAATTCAGCAATGCGGGCCTTATACAAGATCGAGCATAAGCTTTGCAAGCTAAATACCGTAACACAATGCAGATCAGATCTGATCGAGTACGCATGCAGCCTGCATAGTTACTGTAGCTATATATCATGTAGCCTAGCTATGGGATCGATGTAGATTCGTCGGCCAGATCGGAGTAGTCACGATCAACTAGCTCTCTACACCGATCTTGAAGTCGTTTCTTTGTGCTTTCATAACTTCAAAAAACCAAAGCTTTGTAATCTACGATCGGGCCGCCGCGACTCATGCAGTTTCCCTGGCTACATGGACTCAAGAGCCTAGCTGGTTGCCTTGTTTGCAATGAACGTTTCCTGGGTGCTAAAAGAGCATAAAACGACTGGGTCACGTGCGACCCCATCAGTACCTGTACGTAGGAAGACGCCACGGCAGTCGGGCGTCAGTAAGACACAGTTCTTTGAAGCTCGCAGCGACAATGTCATAAGCAGTCCAAGAAGGACATGAGATGCGGAAAACATGCTTCGCTCAATTTAGATGGCCTCTTGAGAACGACCCAGTAAATTAGTTCGCAGTAACGAATTGAGAATCCTTTGAAACTTCGTTTTCTCTGTCTCATTTCAAGATTTAGGCACACAAGCAAGCCGTCAAAGCTTCTTTTGGAGACAAAACGGGAGGCTTGGACGGAAAGTTTTCGGTTGAGAAAGCGATCACTGCTTCTAAGAAGGAGCGAGCAATCAGACCCTGCAACTTACCTCAGCCCTCAGCCACAAACCCCAGTGGGCTGCGGTAGACCGTCACCAGAGTCGCTTCTCCTCCCAAATATAGAACACCCTGTTCAGCGGTGCATCCCAGCTTTTCCCCGGTGATACCTTTCCGGTCACACGCTGCCAATCTTTCCGGCGACTCTTCCCCCTTTAGACCACGCCCTACCCACCGCCGCTCTTCCCTCCCGGAGAGAACTTCCTCCACCCAGCTTGGCGAGAAAATTTCTTCCTCAGAGTCAGCCGAGTACGTCTCGTCTGAGCCCGCCGTATTGGGGGGCTCTTCTTCCCTGGTCACGGGAACCCACCCTTTCCCACGCGTAAGATCTGTGCTTGAGTCCTTGGGGTCAGATACCGGGTGATTCGATTGGGACTCAAGGTCAATAGAGGAGCCCCAACTGCGACAAAAAGTTGCCTCTTCGCTAAGCTGCTGCGGAGTGGCTCTGAATTGATCCAGCCACTGCTCATAGAAATGCTTCTTTTCTTTGAGTGAGGCCGCGAATGGCCCTTCCCTTGAAGTGACTTGGCTGGTGTCTTGAGTTTGTGCACCAGCATAGTCAGTCAAGCGACCCCCCCTTCCTTCTGCCCACGTGTCAACTCCAGATTGCACGACGTACTCATACGCTTGCAAGCGCAAAGAAAGCCAGCTTGGCAACGGAGAAGAGATGATGACCTTCGAATCGCAAGCAGTCGCCGGATCGCCAGACTTGCTCCCTGCGACGTTTTCTGGCAAACCCCGTAGTTGTAGAACTGTGTCATTACCAGAAGTCGCAGCCCTTTTGGAGTGCCGCATGGAAGAGCGTTGACGAGGGCTCTCGCTGCTTTCCATCTCCTCGGTTTGCTTGGCCATTCCCCTCGAGAAACAGCTCCAAAAAGGCATCTCTTCTGAATCCAGGAGAGCCTGCAATCACTTCAGTGTGCTCTTGACAAAACTAAAGTGGCAATTGTAGTATGCCCTTGTTTCAACCACAAACGTATCAAAGGTTGACCAAAGATGGGAAGATTTTGAGGCGCCTCTTCCTTACCAACGCTTCTCACAAACACGGCTGTCTTACCGGTGCTAAATCAACGAAAAGTAGGTTCTTTTCTGCCTAGGCTTGCTCTTTCTACATGTCCCGTACCGCTGCCAAGGAGGACAAGCAAATCAGAAAGATATAATAGATCCTGCTAAGTCTTTTCAGTCGTGCAGTCCTGCTTGGAATTCCAGACAAGGCAGCTGAAAAAGGTGTTCTTTGAGATTTTTCCAGGACTTTCAAGCCTACGGTCTGAAGATTGGTACTCTGAAGGCCTCTTCCCTCCGTTCCCAGGAAGGCCACGTCTTGCAGTGTAAAGAGCACTGGTAACATTCACTGGGTCGCTATCAACCAAAGGCGATGCTGACGTTCAACGGTGACTGCTGCATATGCACAGTCCACAGTCTTCTTCGATTTCAGCAGAACAGCTGCACCAGTCCAATTCTCCACGGGTGTAACTTTACATCAGAAGGTCAGAGGAAGGTTCTCGATGACATTTGATGGCGACGACTGCTGTATACGTCGTTATTTCTCTCCCCCAACTGCGAACACACGGCTGCATTCAATCAGCCTGGTTGGCCTGCTAGTATACCGTATCACAAGGTCAAAGGAAAGGGTTTCGAGAAAGTCAGAGTGTTGCTGCGAAACACCTGAAAGTGGCAACTGAAAGCAAGTATCGTCAAGAAGAAAGTACGGAGTCACTAAAGAGAGACGAATCGAAAAGCAGATTCGAAGAAGCGGATGCCCTGTACCATTGGATCGGATGACGTGACAGACTGCAAGGAGCCAATCATTGAGCCGTACAGGGCCATCCCCCTAGCTAGCCTTGCGACTTCGAAAGCAACTGCGTACCTTATCTACTTCCAAAAGCGATGTGACGTGCGAGTAGGAAGAACATGACTGTATTGTCTTGAACAGCTGATTTATGCTCCCTTTATCACGGCGACCATGTCTATATCGCAGGTTTTGTAGATGTGGAACCAGTCGAAGCTGGCCTCTTAACTAAGGAAAGCATAGTGGATAGAGAGGACACCTGCAACACGTTCTAGCTCGCTTCTGCAAATCAAGACACGCTCGACTATTTGGACATGTGTCGGCGCGATCGAGCAGGAACACAAAGGTTATCGTAAAGAGGACACCAGGAAAGTATTTACAACGAGCTTTGGCTGTACAAGTGCAATCGCGCTCTCTTGGCATACCCCATTTCATATACAAGTAGGTTCGAAGAGTGAAAGTCAAGGCAAGAGCTGCGCCAGAGCCATAAACTACATCTAGTGATCGGAGTTGCCCTCCGGCTTCCCAGCTGCGGCTTGCTGTCTGCTCCCTGGAAAACGCTTCTGCTTCGCGAGACTCTTTTTCGCTCTCATTTATGCAATCAACTCGCGCACTTGATCGGCACATGTAATCGATGCGGATGGGGCAATGGAGTCTTGCCTCAATTGCGATGCGGCTCTAGCTTTAAGCTGCAGCTGCAGAGGATCGGTGACGTAATCAATCATGGCACGAGTGCTTCTGACATCTAGCACGCACCTCTTAGTTCAGTGCAGCGTTGGGTGTGAAAATCCGCGAAATATTAGCGCGGCCGCGCAAGACAGCTTTAGGATGCGGCCCCGGGGCAAGCCTCGGGCGGCAGCGGCCGCGTTCGCGGCCTGTAAAACCTCCGAGTCTGTCAAGGGGACACGCGGCCGCGGTGCGACATCGTCAACACCGTACGTGGCGCGTTTCGAAGCTGCGCGCGGCGCGGCTGCAATCACGATGTCAGTAGCGAGGTTTGGATTTTTGAGGAGTAACTTGAGGTTGACTTTTCTGTCTTCTAGCCAAATCTTCCTCACTTCTCATTCTTGCAGATTTGCAGCACATGCGCTTCCGTGAGGCATTTCTGACGCTCTGGATTTGCGATTACGGGCGAAAGCTACAGCGAAGGTTTCTGCAAGAGAGAGAAGCAACGTTCTGGACCGCCGAGAGATTCTGAGATTGAGAGAGAAGACCTGGAAATAGAGTCTGAGAGAGAAGAGTTTTGAGACGCGAGAGGTTCCTCAGACGAGAGAGAGAAGAGCAGAGCACACTCCTGCAGGGGTCTGCGAGAGAGCGAAACGATTAAGAGCAGGCTTGGTTTTCTCGATTTGAGGTCCACAACGTTTGTTCAGTTATTTGAGGCAGTGACTTTGCGACTCTTCTTGGTGTTGTTCTTTCCTATTCTCCCTCTTTACTCCTGTGTCCTCGCCTTCTTGCTTTGCCAGTCAAACATCTTCCTTTCCATCACTAGATACTGGCACGGAGAATCTGTTCTACTCTGCTTGTTTGTCCCATTGGGTTGATAGAAAGTGAAAGGAACAAGGGCAAGATCAACACCACAAAACAGAAAGAACAAATCACAAAAAGCAAAAAACCAAAAAAACCAAAAAAATTAGAAACAAAGAAAATACAAAACATCTCTTCCTCTTTGCTTCATTCCACGAGAAACCTGTGCTCTTCCTTTCCCATGCCTGTGCTTTTTTGAGAGTAAACGCCTATTAAATACTTCAACTTTTGCATTCAGCCAGAGATTTGTTCATCACACACTATGGCTTTCTCTGCTGTCTTCTGCGCCGTAGGCTCTCTTGCGTGTGCTGGCCTGTCCGCCCTTTCCCGTCCATCCGTGTGGGTGAACGGCAAGCCGCTGACGAGGACAGCCATCCTCGACACCGGCGCGATGCCATTGCTGATTGGGAAGA